AGGATGGATCTACAAGTGCTGAGAGAGCTGGTGAATGCCATAGCTAGGACATTCACAATCATATTTGAAAGGTCATGACGATCAGGAGAGGTGCCTGAGAACTGAAAGAAAGCCAATGTCACCCCCGTCTTCAAAAAGGGCAAAAAAGAGTACCCACGGAACTACCGGCCAGTCAGCTTCACATCGATCCCTGGAAAGGTGTTGGAGCACCTAATTTTGGAGGCCATCTCTAAGCACATGGATGACAAGAATCACAGAAGCACAGAATAAGCTGAATTGGAAGTGACCTACAACGATCATCAAGTCCAACTCCCACCCTACCCAGCACCATTCCCAAGAATCACATAATGTGTCCAAGAGTGTTGTCCAAACTCTGTCAGGCTTGGTGCTGTGACCACTCCCCTGGGGTGCCTGTTTCAGTTTCCAACCACCCTCTGGGTGAAGAACCTTTTTCTAATATCCAACCTAAACCTCCCCTGACACAACTTCAGTCCATTCCCTCAGGTCCTGTCACTGGTCACCACAGAGAAGAGATCAGTGTCTGCCCCTTCCCTTCACGAGGAAGTTGTAGACTGCAATGACTCCCCTCAGTCTCCTCCAGGCTGAACAGACCAAGTTACCTGAGCCACTCATACAGCTTCCCCTCAAGGCCCTTCACCATTTTTATTGCCCTGGTTTGGATGCTAATAGTTTAATATCTTTCTTATATTGCAGTCACCAGAGCTGCACGCAATATTCAAGGTGAGGCTACACCAAAGCAGAGTGGGACCATCACCTCCCTTGACCATCTGGCAATGCTGTGCTTGATGCATCCCAGAATATGGTTGTCCCTCCTGGCTGTCAGGGCACACTGTTGAATCATATTCAACTTGCCATCAACCAGGACCCCCAGATCCCTTTCTGAAGGACTGCTCTCTAGCCTCTCGTTCCCTGGTCTGTACAGACATCCAGGGTTGTCCCATCCCAGGTGCAGAATCTGGCACTCATCTTTGTTAAACGCTGGGGATTGCCCAGCCCTCTAATTTGTTACAGTTCCTCTGCAGGGCCTCTCTGCCTTCAAGGGAGTCAGCAGCTCCTCCCAATTCAGTGTCATTGGCAAACTTAGTATTTATGAAGACAATTAAGAGCACCGGCCTAAGAGTCCTGCAAAACTCCATTAATGACTAGACTAATTAATTGGTTTTGTGGTCCTGGCTGGGTGGCCTATAGTAGACTCCCACAATGACATCCACTATATTTGTTTGTCCCTTAACCCTTACCCAGAGGCTCTCAACCATGCCATTACCAACTGCAAGCTCTGTTGTGTGAGTTGACACAGGCAGGCAGCCAGAACAACCACAAACTCATGGCTACAATACAAAGAATCAATTTATCTCTGTTATCTCACTAACTGGGATGATTCCCAAAGCAAAACCCAGGCAGAAGCATTCAAGTGGAGACACAGGCACCATTAAACTCGGTCCATGATAGAGGATCACTGGCCTGCTTTTCATACAGGCTTATCTAGAGAAAATCCCAGCTGCAAGGTCACTTGATCTATTTACAATCTGCCTTACCAGTCTTCTACTTTTAACCCATTCCTCCCAACGTCCATACATTCCAGCCCATCCATTACATATCATGCCCCTCCCCCACCTTGCCTGCCCTGCCTATCCCTCCTGAAGATACTGTAACCATCCATCATGGCACACCAGTCACAAGACCCATCCCACCAGATTTCACTTAGACCAATGGTGTCATATCTCTAGGACTGGGCCAAGGCTTCGAGCTCCTCTTGCTTGTTCCTCATGCTGTTCATGGTGGTGTAGAAACATTTCAAGTGCAGTTCAGTGTAGCCAACAACTCGTGGAGCAGAATGAAGGATCTCACTAGTACTCAGTCCCTCCAATTTTGGCATGTCCCATTGCTCATCACTGGCAGGCCTGGTTTTGTCCCTTTCCCCCTTCTAAGCTAGTTTAAAGCTCTATCAATCAGTCCTGCTAAGTCCTGAGCTTCTCATTAACCAACATCCCCAAGTCTTTCTCCTCAGGGCTGCTCTCAACCCATTATCTGCCCAGCCTGTATTTCTGCTTGGAATTGCCTTGACCCACGTGCAGGACCTTGCACTTTGCCTTCTTGAATTTCACGAGCTTTGCACAGGCTCACATCTCAACCCTGTTAAGGTCCCTCTGGATGGCATCCCATTTCTCCAGTGTGTCAACTGTACCACACAGCTTCATGTCATTGACAAACTTGCTGAGGGTGCATTCCGTCCTACTGTCCATGTCACTGACAAAGATGTTAAACAGCTCCGGTCCCAATACCAACTCCTGGGGAATGCCACTTGTCACTGGTCTCCACTGGACATTGAGCCATTGACCATAACTCTTTGAGTGCAACCATTCAGCCAATTCCTTATCACCAAGTGGTCCATCTGTCAAATTCATGTCTCTGCAGTTTAGAGACAAGGATGTTGTGTCAGATAGTGTCAAATGTTTTGTACAAGTCCAGGTAAAGTCAGTTGTTCTTCCCTTATCCATCAACACTGTAACCCCATCACAGAAGGCCACTAAATTTGTCAGGCATGATTTGCCTTTAGTGAAGGCATTTTGGCTGTCACCAATCATCTTCTTATTTTCCATGTACCTTAGCATAGTTTCCAGGAGGATCTTCTTCATGATCCTGCCAGGCACTGAGAAGAGACTGACTGGCCTGTAGTTCCTCAGGTCTTCCTTATTTCCCTTTTTAAAATTGGGGATTATGTTTCCCCTTTATTCAGTCAGTGGGAACTTCACCGGACTTCTCAAATATGATGGGTTGTGGCTTAGCAACTTCATCCGCAAGTTCCCTCAGGACCCATGGATGCATCTTATCATCAGGTTCCACAGACTTGTGCACTTTCAGGTTCCTTAGATGCTCCTGAACTTGATCATCTCCTACAGCGGTTGGTTCTTCATTCTCCCAGTCCCTGCCTTTGCTTTCTGTGACTCAGGCAGTGTGGCTGAAGCACTTGTCAGTGAAGACTGAGGCAAAACCATCATTCAGTACCTCAGCCGTCTCCATATGTTGGGTTACCAGGTCTCCTGTTTCTTTATGGAGAGGATCCACCCTTTCCCTAGTCTTCCTTTTATCATCAATGTACCTATAGAAGCTTTCCTTGTTGCCCTTGACATCCCTGGCCAGGTTTAATTCTCTCAGGGCTTTAGCTTTCCTAACCTGATCCCTGTCTGCTCAATCTCTGTATTCTTCCCAGGCTACTTGTCCCTGCTTCCACCCTCTGTTGGCTTCCTTTTTGTGTTTGAGTTTTTCCAGGACCTCCTTGTTCATCCACACAAGGCTCCTGTCATTTTTGCTTGACTTCCTCTTCTCTGAAATGCATTGCTGCTTCTGAGCTCAGAAGAGGTGATCCTTGAATATCAACTAGCTTTCTTGGGCCCCTTTTCCCTCCAGGGCCTTATCCCATGGTACTCTACCAAGCAGATCCCTGAAGAGACTAAAGTCTGCTCTCCTGAAGTCTGAGAGACTTTATTTTTATAAAGAAAAATCTTAAAACATGTTCTGTTAGTTTGTTGTAGGTTTTGGTGTTTTGGGTTTTGTTTTTTTTTTTTTTAATTTAGTCATCATAATGTTATGGTAGGAAACAATAAATTTTCATTTTGGCTACAGTGATTTTTATTTTTTTTTTCTGGTCAAATTTAAATCCTTAAAAATATATTTCAGAAAAATACATTTTATGATGATATATATGCCAAATGTCTCACTTTCGAAGTAGCTGGGGGAAAAGTGGTAGTGAATAGAGATGAGATTTATTTTTTTAAAGAAAAAAGATCAAGCATAGCATTTTAAAGTCTTAAAACTAGGATTTTGATATTACATTAACAAAAGATCACTTAAATTTTAATTTAAATAGGGAATGCTTCAAAGCTTTTGAATGAAGAAGTCGGCAATTTAATAGTTTGTATTTAAATATTAATTTGCAACATGCTACATGTTGTCTTTATTTTTTTTCTCATACAATTGTCTTGCAATAAGGCTAACGTATCCCCTGAGTGATTCAGTCTTTTCAGTTTTATAAAACAGTGTATTGCTATTTTAAAGTAAATTCCAGGACATCTCATAATGTGGCTATTAGGATGTTGGAACCAGCAGTCATAAATCAGGGGCCTTGAATGATTGTTACCTTTTGGAAAGGCAGATTTCCTCTTGCTTGTGACTGATCCCCATCCAGAGTGCTTTTTGTAAGTGCTCAGCACTTTGCAAAGGATAGCTGCATGGCTTGAAAGTAGTGAGTCATTAAAACCAAAGATCACGGACAAAGACTGTCTAACTAGTCAAAGTTAAAAAGTGGTATGTTTATTAACACCGGCGGGCGGCACGGGAGTCGTCCCCGAAAGGCGTGACTGCACTGTACAAGGTTCTTTTTTCTCTATTTAATAATTTCCTGAGATCTTACATACAATACATATGCATAACCCCAGCACCTCCCATTCCCGCTCTTTATTAAAATGAGGTTATTAGTTCTTCATGCGTGTGCAATTCTTCTCTTGAATTGGGTTGGTGGTCTTGAATTGGGTCAGTGGTCTTAACGGATTAAGTCAGGAATGTCTTCATCAGGTCTCCATGACCCTCTGGCACGATCCAAGGCCCTCTGCTTCGTGATTGATTGACATAAAGCCCAGGTGCTAATCATTGTTCTACTGGTTTCAATATGTTGTTATAACGGGTCACTTACTCCACTTCCTTCTACAAACAAGCTCATAATGGCAAATAATATAACAATCAGCTCTAGCTTAAGCATCTAATAATCATTAACCTATCATCTGCGTATTTAGCTTACATCCTCATCAATATGAATTGCTTCTAACCCTCAGCTGAAATCTTAACTTTTTGAAATCATGCTTCAGTAGAGGTTGGTTTTGGAATTTAGAAATATGTGAATGTCATTAGTGTAAATGGAGAAATAATCAATTAAAACAGTGCTCATATATCAAGGTAGACATGTCTTGCATTTTAAATTTTAGGAATCCGATCATGGGATACAAGCTTGATTGGATGCAACTTGGATCAAGAACTGAAACTTTTTGTGTCTCGCCATTCAGCTCGATTCTCCCCTGACATTCAAGGTGAGTTTTTGGAAATGTTGGCCAAAGTTTTGTATGTTATTCTAATGAGCAGAATTAACAAATACACTCAGGTATTGGATGGTCCTCTTTCATTTGTGATTCTCTACAATGAATACTTTTTTCTTTGTTTAAAATAAAGCCTGAAAATTATAGTTAATTTTAACTTTCTGACAACAGGAAATCTGAAAGATTTAAATAATCAGCCTTTTAGGTTAGCTTCATGTATCTCACCATGATTATTTTGGCAGTAGATGTTAGTTTTAGGCCACTTTAAAGTTAAGTGAAACTCACTTTTTGACTGAACAGTTTGTTTGTGTAGCATCAATCTAGTAGTCCTGGAGACTGAAGCTGTTCCTCACTGTGGTAGGTAGAGCACATACAGAAAATAACCTGAAAGGTTAGCTCTACAGTTTGATAGAGCCAGAAATGGCATCATGGCTGTTGTACGAGCATGGCTCTAACCCCATGTTCCTTCCTAAAAGACTTAGACTCTTTTTCTTGGTATGAAAAAGCTGAGGGGTAGAGGGTCTAACTTGACTCACAGGAACTTTCTTTGGCTTGTATGAAGAAACTAGAATTTTAAAGGCTACATCTTCTGCTGCGTTTTCTTCAAGACTGTCCTTCCTTTAGAGGATTAATAAAATAAATTAAAAAACCCAACAATTTTGTGATGGGTAAAATTTCATTTTATTCTCAGTGCATGGAAACTGTATATTTGGTAAGTTTTTTAACATGTCATTACTTTAACGCAAATGGTTAGAGTATATGAGAGATTAATCTTGGGTTTTGTATTAAAATATATCTCTTTCTCCAATAATTATAGGTTACTTTTATTGGTGTAATTATTGTGGCCATGTGCACATCGACTAGTACAACCTAGTATTGATGAATGTTATAAATTCCAACTTCAGGAACATCTTTTAAGTATGGTGATGTCATGGTTTAAGCCCAAGGAGCAATTAAGTACTACACAGCCGCTCTCTAACTTACCCCCCATCCTGGTGGGATGATGAGGAGAATCAGGAACAAAAAAGTAAAACCTGTAGGTTGACATAAGAACAGTTTAATAATTGAAACAAAGTATAATAATAATAATAATAATGGTAATAAAAAGAGAGGGAGACAGATAAAACCCAAGAAAAACAAGTGATCCACAATACAATTGCTCACCACCTGCTGACTGATGCCAAACCCATCCCTGAACTGTTATTGACACTCATTCTGGGTAACTCACACAGTCTATATACTGAGCATGACATTCTATGATGTGAAATATTTCTTTGGCCAGTTCAGGTCAGCTGTCCTGGCTATGCTCCCTCCCAGCTTTTTTGTGTACCTCTTCACTGGCAGAGTGTGAGACACTGAAAAGTCCTTGACTTCAGGTAAGCACTACTTAGCAACAACCAAAAGATTAGTGTGTTATCAACATTATTCTCATACCAAATCCCAAACACAGCATTGTAGCAGCTACTAAGAAAAAAAAAGAACTCTATCCCAGCCAAAACCAAGACAGATGAAAAGGGGTATGAAATGTATCATACTACTGCATCACATTCCCAAGGTCAGTTGCTATACACTGTTGACAAAGAGGTCTTGATGTCTTGCTAGCATGACATCATTGACCTGATGATCTTGAATAATGTACCAAATGTCTTGTGTTACTAATTCTTCCTCTTGCAGCATAGATTATAGCAGATTTTTCCATATCTATAGGGAGTAAAACATTCTTTTTCAGCACTGTTCAATCTTTAAACAATAAGCTGCCAAAATCTGTGTTGAAAGAGCTTTAAGGGAGCCTGAAACTGGGAAAGAGGGAACATCCAGGAATAAATCTAGTCCTCTTAACCAATTTTATTTCTCACATTTTGTGGAGAAGCCCATTGACACCTTCAGAATTCCACTGCACAGATCAGAGGACAATATTTTAGTTTCTCTATTCTCTCTGTAGTTGTCTGATGTAGAATCTTTATGAGGCTCCTTTATGTTTTCTGTACTGTTTGATAGGAAGGAGGGTTTTTTTTCTTGCCATTCATCAATAAAATTTTAGAATTTTTGATTTCTGTTCAACAAATGTTGAATTTTGTGTGTTTAATCAGGGAAACTGGCAACATTTATAATGAAGAAGATTGTAAATATGTATTCTCTTAAACTCAGAAATTCTCTGAAATTTGAAGAACTAGGTGACCTCTTGCCCAAGGAAAATATTCATCCAAGATGATGGGATAGTCTGTGGGATTTAATTAAACAGCCTTTTTTTCAGTCTTCTGAGAGTAAACTCTTTGTGCAACTCAAACACAGGGACAGTTTACTCTTGAGATTCATTTAGTATGTCTGCACAACTCTTAGTATAGTGAGGTCTGACTAATGGATGAAACTTTTTTGATTATAATGTTTATTATGGTAATTGCAGGGCCAATTCAGTACATGCTTGTATGATTCTCAAAGCAGCTTGAGAAAATATGGAACACACTGTCCAAGAAAATACATGCAAGAGAATGTCTGTCAAAGCATTTGTGTGTTTTCACTTGAGGAATTTGAAGTCTAATCCTTTGCCATGTGTAGTGAAAACCAATGTACATATTGATATTGCAGGGACCATGACCAGATCCAAACACTCTTTTTGTGCTTTTATCAAGGAAATGGATTGTCACAGTGGTATTTGTGTATCGTATATTCTGCTGCTGGGCAATTTATGGAGGATTTATGATTCCCTGAAAAATAGGATTGAGAATGGAAATGCCAGCAGATATTTTCTGATACTTTGTAAAGCAGCTCTTAGCAGACTCCTTAATAATACCAAATCTTGCAGAGACGTTGTCAGGTGCTGATGAAAAATGAGTAACAGAGTTTATTAACTGATTGCCAAGAAAACAGGCAACATGACTTAAAATAGGCACTCCAGTGCTTGCCTCTGTTTTCTCTGTCATATACTGATGATAGCTTCCATCTTATGTTAACTTCACAAGGACACAAAATTCAAACAATGAGTTGTAACGTATACATGCTGGAAAAGGAATTGTGTATCTGGTAGTGAGAGCAAGTGGAGAGTATTGGAAAGACATCTGTTGAAATTGCAGCTGTTGCTACCAGCCTTAATTTAAAAAAAGTTTCAGCTGCATAAAGCTGAATATCCTGCTTCACAAAAGATGGAGTAAAAGAATTCTGTGTGTGAATGAAGCCATTGAGGGCCCTTCTGCAAGACTTCCACACCTGCCATTTTGTCCATCATCTTCCACCTGGGATACATGACTCTATCATTGGTTTGTATTCAAGTCCTTGTATAGATTAAAATCTGTTGTAATTAGGTGCAAATGAGACCATATGCCAAAGTCAACAATACAGATTTTATTTAAAAATAAATGTGAGGTAAAGAGATGGAAAGAAATAAAAAAGAGGACAGAGAGATAGAAAGATATCAAGCAGAAGATAGTCACCACCCATGGATCCACTGGTGTCCTGTTGGTCCTTCTTCACCCTGGGCTTCTCTGTGGTGGGGGTCCCCAGGTCATTATGGTGGTACCACCTTTATCCAGTCCATGTTCTGGGTATTCACAGAGGCATATTCCTAATTTACATGTGAATTTGCATGCTAAGCGAGGATGGGTGTGTCCTGCGTATGCTTCCTCCAAGATTTCAGGGGGCTTTGGTGGTTGTTGGTGACCGCAGATGCTGTATGTCCCATAGCTTGGGGTGATCTTTATTTGACTGGTGATATGCGTATAAGCAGTTGCTTCCTTTCACACAGTTCACCACAGTAGGATATTTTATCTGGATTAATTAACCAGGATGTGCTAACCAGATTTTGCTTCCACCAGGCCTGGAATTAATGCCTTCCTGTCACAAATTCCTCCCTTCTGTGCTTATCTCAAGTTTCATCTGCAGTGGCTTATCTTATGGCAAATTCCTTCTGTGGCCTTGACAGTGTTTGAGACAGGCAACTGTACTCTTTAAATCCTTACAACCCCTCACTACAAGTGTCCCATCCCAGAGTGAGACCAGGGGAATTCTGGATTCCTAGGGCTAAATTAGATGAAAATGAGGCAAATATTACACCTGTGAACCATTTATTGATAAAAGAAAATAAATGGCCCTAACAGGGGGATAGAAAAGTCAGAGAAAAGAGTAAAGAGACAGTGTTACTGCTACTGCGTTGCTATGGTGTTCGTGGCACACTGTTGTTGTTTGGTTGGCAGGTGACGTGTGTGCGCTGCAAGCCAAGTCGACGCAGCACTCGCAGTGCGATTCTAACAGCCTGAACTGCATGCAACAAACAGCGGGACACTCAGCGACACGATGCTCAAGCAGGAGACGCAGCAGCAGCAGGGAAGGAGGCAGGGTGTCAAGCTGCAGCAGGGACGGTGGGGGATTGGGACAGCAGTTGCAGACTGCAGCAGGATAGGGACAACGGTGGCTGCAGGCAAGAGAGAGCAAGGGCTGGGGCCAGGAGCGAGGCTCAGCTTGGGGTTTGGAGGCAGTCACTTATATACTGTGTAACCCCTCCCATGGTCCTATTATCCAAGGAAGGTCACCTGGAGAGTCTCCCTAGTGATAGAGGCTCTCTTCACCCTGATAGGCTGTCAAGAGAAATTTCCCCCAGAGACAGAGCCGTTTTTGTGCACATGCTGTCACATGCTGGTACTGCCAAGACACGCGCAGCTTTTCTAGTACTTTCCATTAACATTAAAAAGAACAGATTTATAACCAACAATCCAAAATAAAATCCCAACAATGCTGAGGCACTCTTATTCTAAAATTAATTGGTCCCTTACAACAAGAAAGACATTAAGGTGCTGGAGCCTGTCCAAAGAAGGGCAGTAATGCTGGTGGAAGAGTCTGGAGCGTGTCTTGTGAGGAATGGCTGAGGGAACTGGGGTTGTTTAGCCTGGAGAAAAGGAGGCTTGTTATGGGGTGTACATGTTGATCCTTGTTACCAAATGTAGCATGAGAGGTGCCACTGTATCTGCTGCAGTCAGTCTCACAGTATCATGAGGAGCTCCAGCCGTCATCTTCCTTGAAGAGACAAATGCAGAAAGCATTGCAAGACATGCATTAGTGCTGGCTGCAGATCCAGGTGCTCCTGTCTATAGACTGCTGGGAGTACCCCTTAGTACCTCATAGTCTGCATAAGTAGGTGTTTTCTTTTAACACACTCTGGGTGGATCTGTCCTTATCTCAACCCTTCAGGCCTCACATTGGGTGCCAAAAGGACTGTCTGGTTTTAAGCCCAGCTGGAAATAAAACACCATGCACCTGCTTGTTCAAGCCCCCCTCTCTTCCCCTCCACCCCAGTGGAATAGGGAGAAGAATTGAAGTAAAACTTGTAGGTTGGGATAAGAACAGTTTAATAATTGCAAATAAAATACAATAATAATGGAAAATAATAATGATAATTTAAAAAGAAACCAACAAACAAGTGATGCACAATGCAATTGTTCACCACCCACTGACCAATGCCAGACCTCCCCTCCCAAACCCAGATTGGATGCCCTTCTGGGTAACTCCCCCCAGTTTATATACTGGGCATGATGTTCTATGATGTGAAATATTTCTTTGGCCAGTTTGGATCACTTGTCCCAGCTATGTTCCCTCCCAGTTTCTTCTGCAAAACTCCTGACTGGAAGAGCATGAGACAAGGAAAAAACGTCCTTGATAAACATATGTCTTGGGGATGCTGTTTTTAATCCCATATCCGGTCTTGTTTTTGTTTTGTGTCCAAGGTGGTCACTGCCCCTCTCCCACCCCCCCGATGGCTCTGGGAGTACTGTGATAGGTGAGAGCCAGCCCAGGATTTCCTGCAAGTTGGGGGTGAGGGGCAGCTGCTTCCTTCCGGTGGAGCGATCGTCTCTGTGGCCATGCGGCGTGGTGTCTGACTAGAAATATTGTTGTCTTGTGCATTTTGCCCGCTTTTTTCTTTTCCTTTGGTACTGTGACTGGAGCTTACTGGTTTGCTCGGGATCCCAGAGCCAGTGCGTGCTGCACTGGGAACCCACCCCCCCCCCCCCCGCCAGGGCTGCACCCTCTGCGCAGCTGGACCCCAGAACCAGCCGTCACAGGTGAGCTATCTATGAGAGTGATTCCCCACTCAGTCCTCCTGTTATTGCCACTGCTTCAGGGCTTCTTGCTATACTGTAACCTGACACCCAGACATCCCATGGCTTCGGTTAGGCCCCCAGAGTTTCTGCTACATTTTGTCACCCCCAGGTGTGCCCACCTCTGCTGTTCCAGCTTGCTGCTTCCGAGGTTTTCTGCTTCAGTCCATTCAGTTTCCCGAGTGGCATTGAGACTGGCTGCTTCCTGTGAGTTTGCAAAGGAAAACCCCTAATCTCTCTCTCACTGGCACACCCACCAATACTGAGTGGAGAGAGGTGGCTGAGCTTGTGCCACAGCACCCCCTGAAGCCTCAGGGAAATCATGGCACCTGCCCTGCCCAGCCAGGAGCCAACAGTGCCCCTGCCGGCTGTCACTGTAACTACACCAAAGGGGAAAGTGCTTGACAGCTGAGAGAAGGCCGGTGTTGGGTCTCTGTTTTTCTTTGTTGTTGCTGCCATCGTTGGTTTTGTTTGCCATGTTATACATATATATATATACACTAGTACACAAATGTTATTCCTTTTCCTGTATCTTTGCCTGAAAGCCCCTTAATTTCAAAGTTATAATAATTTGAATGGAAGGGGGGGGTGTCATATTTTCCATTACAAGGGAGGTTCCCACCTTCCTTGGCAGACACCTGTCTTTCAAACTAGGACAACATGACTTAGCAGAAACAAAAACATCAGTGTTTTATCAACACCCTTCTCATTCTGAATCCAAAACACAGCACTGTAATGGCTACTGAGAAGAAATGAACTCTACCCTAGCTGAAAACAGAACAATATGTACTTTAGTCAGTAATAGTCACAAATAGAAAGCTGGATAGTTCTGTAACAGAGACCCATGCTTTTGCATGAACCCCCCAGATGGTCCCACCAAAAAGACATGATAGGTACTTTTGATTTGTAGTTGCTGGTTGCAATCTGTTCCTAGAGTTAAGAAAAGCCAGTGCTCCTGTTGACTTGGGTTTGCATGCTGTCTGTGTGGGATCCGTGTGTGCAGCATAGACTCATAAATGTAAGGACATAATTTTTCTGGTTCTTGGATATTCTACTGGTTGGAATTAGTCTGTTTATGATTCAAAACCAGTTGCTGATATAAGACAAAATCAAGTTAAACTTATAAAAATAATAATTAAGCAATGTATTCAGAAATTAATGTTTGAATTTCAGTATTTGATATTGCAACTTTATGTACTTTGGTACTTGAAGGCTTTTCTATAATGGTGAGATGAGTGACTCTGCTATGTCCCTATGTCCCCATCTCCTTCATAGCTGTATGTGTGAGATTCTGCCTATCAGAACTGTGGAATGCTTAGGCTTTTATTTAACAAACAAATAAACCAACAAACCCTTCCAAGGAGGTAACCAAGTTCTTAGTACTTTAATATTAGGCTGTGTAATCTCTGAATGACTCTAATGAGCTATGGAGACTTTCACATGGAAGTCAACTACCCTTTGCCGAGCAAGGCAGCCTTTGGAAGCTCTTCCAATTTTATGTCAGTTCTGTAGCTCTTCTGGTGAAAAGACTGATCCCACCTTCAGCTCCCATGTCTTGAGTCACAAATAAGGTTTTCTAAGTCTCTGTCATGGTTTAATTCCAGCCAGCCACCAAGTACCACACAGCAACTTGCTTGCCCTCCCCCCACCACTGAAATCAGGGAGAGAATTGGAAGAAGAAAAGCTTGAAAACTAATGGGTTGAGATAAAGACAGTTTATTAGGGAAAGTAAAAGCTGCGTAAGCAAGCAAAACAAGGAATTCATTCACTGCTTCCCATGGGCAGGCATGTGTTCAGCCATCTCCAGGAGAGCAGGGCCCCATCATGCATAACAGTGACTTGGGAAGACAACTGCCATCACTCAAAGCATCTGTCCTCCCTTCCTCCTTCTTCCCCCCACTTTATATACTGAGTGAAATAAATTGGGCAGGAGATTTTTCTCCTTTTTAATGCCTTTATTAAAGAGATTCAGCTCAGGTGGGGAGAAATCGACGGGTTGCGCCCACGCCGCCGCTGCTCCCAGGAGTGGCACGGAGGAGGAGGGTGATGCAGCTTTGTCCGCTGGTCTGCAGGCAGAGCTGGGGACTGCGTCCTCATGGGAGATTAGCAGATTCCTCCTTTTCGGTCCAACACTTCGGGTTCCCTCCTTAGTGAACATCCTTTCAGGTCAGGGTGAGAAGCAAAAAGGATCCAAGCAGGCACTGGACTACGCGCCCATCCTTAGACATCACCTAGGTCCCCTAATTCTATGTTGGCTCGTTGTTTTTAGGGGTTTTCCTGGAAAACTGGAAGATTTGGAGCAATGCATTTCTCATCTGCATACGTGGCCACTCCTATTTTCCTGGTGCTGCCGTGTCCAGGTGTTGCTCCCGGGCAAGCATCAGGAGGACAATGGCTAAATCACCAATCATTGACGGGCAATTAAAGAAGAACTCTTAACAATGAAGCTAACTTAACAGCAATTGGTCTAACAGGTTTTAGCTCTGTAACCTTAAACAAAAATAGATAACTTTTTATTCATAACACTGAGCATGATGTTATATGGTCTGGAACATTCTTTTGGTCAATTGGGTTCAGATGTCCCAGTTGCATCTTCTCCTGTCATGGTTTGACACTGGCAAACACCAGACACCCACAAAAGTTGTTCGCTTATGCTCTCCTGCTACAGCTGAGCAGAGGAAAGGGGAAAAAATTAACAAAGGGCTCATGAGTTGAGATAAGGTTTGTGAGGAAAACACTCTAAGGGCAAAAAAGGTTCAAATTTAAAGGCATAAAGTAAATTTATTATTAACAGAGTCAGAGGAGGATAATGAGAAGTAAAATAAGCTTTTAAAATACCGTTTCTGTGAGAAACGACTACTCACTTTTAAAATTTTAAAAGTTTATTAAACCTTAACAAAAAATACAACAAAAGGACTAAATAAGGAAAAATTACAGTGCTGGGAGCCTCTATGACAATCAGCCACATGCTCATTTACAAAATGGATGCTCTGCCTTTTATACCCTTAGCCCCTCCTAAAGTTTTGTCAGTTGACTCCTTCCTTGCCGTCTAGTGGTGGAGATCACTTTCTTACATCCTGATTGGAGGTCGGATATTACTATAGTAACAAGCCAACCCTCCCCAAATGCCCTGACTACCAAGGCCATCCTGTGATAACTTAGCTCTGGAAGCAGGGACCCTCTCTCTCTATTCGGGTCTCCCACTGGATCACAGCTTTCTCTGGCATCCACTCGCTCCAGCGTGGGCACTTTTCCTATGGGCTGTGAGTGGATCTCTGCATCCCCCGTGGACTTCATGCGTTACAGGGGGACAGTTTGTTTCACCATAGTCCTTACTATGGCTTGCAGAGGAATCTCAGCTCTGATGCTTGAAGCACCTCCTCCCTCTCTCTTTTTTCCCACTGACCTTGGTGCTGCCATGTTGTTTTCTCTCACATGTCTTCACTTCCTCTTCTTTGACTAGAAGAAAAATTGTTGCTCATAGGTGCCATTGCCAACAAGTTCCACCAATTCAGATTCCTATAGCATCCCACAGCACCAAGAGGTCAATTTCATCTAGGTTCCGCATCAGGGAATCCCTCACCATGCTTTTGCTGCCACGGCGCTGGTGCTAATTTAACGCCTCTCTTAATGCAGGGCGCCAGGAGGAGCTGCCCCTGCCCTTCTACCCATGGTGCGGCTGTCTAGGAGCAGCCAGGCAGGCAAGGCTCACTGCGGGCCGTGCTGAGATAGTGGCAGCCATGGTGCTTCACCACCCCTGGAAAAAACTGTGCGTACTCTGTTTTGATTTTCTTCTTAAATATGTCTTAAATATCACAGAAGCATTACCAACTGCTCTAATTGGGCCAGTAGCATGTCCATCTTCAGACCCATCAGTGATTGGCTCTGTCGGACATGGTGGGAGATTTTAGCAGCTTCTCACAGAATCTACCCCTGTGTCGTCGTGTCCTCCCCCCCCCGACCACTACCAAAAAACCAGGCCGTGCAAACCAACGCACCTCCCAACTTCCCCTGCACCCTCAGCCTCCTTGCCATGATGGCAGTATGAAAAGCAGAAAAGGCCTTGGCTCTGTGCAGGCCCTGCTGAGCAATAATAAAAACATCTCTATATAATCAACCCTGTGTTCAGCACAAATCCAAAACACAGCCCCATACCAGCCACTAGGAAGAAAATTCACTTTACCCCAGCTAAAACCAGCACACCAGCTTAGAGAAAAGGGCAAAGCACAAGGTCAGAGCCTGCACTAAGCAGCCTCCAAGGCCAGGCACAAGGACAATAATCACAAGAAAAAGGACATGCAAAGCATTTCAATTTCCTTAAACAGTGTAGACTTACTCTCCATTGCATTGAACAATATAATACAATCATGCTTTAGAGCCGTACTTACCAAAAAATAATGTAGATTTGAACTCTGGATTGTTTCATGGCCTGTGTGACCCCTCTTTAATTAAATTAATTTAAATTAAAAGAAAATTCCAGACCAAGGAATCAGTTTCTTGCAGAGAATATGTCCTATGGTGACGTTATGATGCTTGTATCCCCAATCAGGTGTTCTGTTTATGCTGGATGTTGTATTCTGTGCCTTCAAGACTGGCTCTGACAGTGAAGGCGGGGAGAAGAAGAAGCATGGAGTTTCATTATCAGCTGCACTCTCCCCCACAGACTGCTGGAACACAGAACTCCACTGTTGTTGTCTGGGCACAGACGGGGCAGAACACCGCGCTCCTTTTGCTTTTTTGTTAGTTTAGCTAGCTGAGGCAGTCCAAGATTTACCTGGACTGTTTTTCTTTCCCTTTTCTTGGAACCGTTCAAACCTGATCCAGACTGGGACCTGGGGAAACACCGAGAGCTCACACTTTGTAGCCTGCCGGGGCCTACTCTGGGCAGCAGCCTTTCCCAGTGCTGGAGGGACTGATAACAAAGCAACCACCCCCGGGAGAGATTTTCTGAATTTGTCATCTCTTCAAAGGGACAAATGAGTTTTGTCATCTGGTATTGTTCATTTTGTGTGCTGGGGAGTGCTTTGCCTGTTAAATAAACAGGTTTTCTTCCACTTCTCTCTGAGGAAATTCTTCCTGAACCGGTTGGGGGAGAGAGGCCGTGTGGGCTTGCTTTCTGGGGGGGGCCTTTTGGAGGTTTTCTCCCAAATTTGCCCTAAACCAGGACAATATGGAAGAAACATAGAGATTTACTTTGTTTTACAGGTCTCCACTTTTTTCAGTTTTGCACAGCATACTATAGATTTGCAGAGTTGTTCTAACTTTCAGTCCATTCCAAACTTGATTCTTTTCCCCTGATGATGTTGGACACAGCTGGGCATCTATGAAATTACCTGTGTCCTCCTATACTTTTCAGGCCTTCCTAAGTACTCTGAGTGTCTAGTGAGATTTTAATAGTGTCTGCTGCTTTCCAGGGACATGGCAGTTTGTGTGGTGTATTCAGCCCAGGGCAATGTTTAGTCCTGGTATGGTAACACTTTTTGCCTTCTTGTCTTGACTTGTAGTCACAAAAAAAAAGCACAGATGACTTTAAAAGAAGGGCCCACTCTAAAAGCTTTTTTTTTGTTATAGGATAAGGGAAGGGAAGGGAAGGCAAGGGAAGGGAAGGGAAGGGAAGGGAAGGGAAGGGAAGGCAAGGGAAGGGAAGGGAAGGGAAGGGAAGGGAGGAAGAGAGAGAGAGAGAGAAAAGGAAAGAAAAAGAACAAAGAAAGAAAGAAAGAAAGAAAGAAAGAAAGAAAGAAAGAAAGAAAGAGAAAAAAAAAAGAAATGGTGCAAGGCAGCCCTATGTAGATCTATCCTACAAGCACCACATAAGCTGGTACATTTGCCCAGGACAGTGCAGCTTCAGACTTCAGTCCCTAGGAGCAGAACTGGGTCTCTCAGAAGACCATCAGGAGGAATTATCTTACATTCCTCATCACATCAGTATTTAACTTTGCCACAGCACTGTGTTGGCAAGACTCTACTGCCATGTTTCAGAGACAGCTTTGGTGTCTCTTTCAAGGGCAGTTTTTGCAAGAACGAAGCATGCAACATAGACTTTATTCTGTGACACTGACATCTGAAACTATTTTTCCCATTTTCCTGATTTGTTATTTCTTCAACTTATAATAAACGACTACTCACTTTTAAAATTTTAAAGGTTCATTAAACCTTAACAAAAAATACAACAAAAGGACTAAATAAGGAAAAATTACAGCGCTGGGATCCCCCATGACTATCAGCCACGTGCTCATTTACAAAATGGAGGCTCTGCCTTTTATACCCTTAGCTTCTCCCAAAGTTTTGTCAGTCATATCCTTCTCTGCCATCTATTGGTGGAGATTACTTTCATGATTGGAGGTTAGGTGTTGTTACTCTGCACTTCCTGGTAACAATCTGGCCTTCTCTGAATGTCTTGTCTACGAAGGCTATTACAAGGGGGAGGGCAAAGAGGACTATGGAAGGACATATTACCATAACATTACTATACATTTTAACATCTACATAATATCTATCTCTTAATTGTGAGAGCCAAATGTTACATTACTCATCTAGAACAAGCTTATTTTAGAAATTGTATTCTATTTCCTTCTACTTTCCAAAAGTGTGTGAAATGCTGAATTCTGATATTAGCAGATGTTTTCATGACTTAGAGAAGCTTGTGTTCATCCTAGATGACACTTCTTCCTTTCCCTGTTGTTGTTCCTCCTGCAGTCTTCCTATATGTCGCAGTAAGTTAAGGTGACTTAGTGGTATAATGTGAATGGTACCTTGTCAGTACTGGCACTTCCAGGCTTCCTCCCTTTCATGAAACCATGCTGCAGCTAACAACAAAGGAATTATAACTTTAGGAAATGAGTTTAGAAAAAGCTGTGGTCAGGGATATCTTTGCTGACAAGTGATACTTTGTTGTCTACTACTACTCCTGGCTTCCCTCTGCTATTAAATACATTGGAGGCTACTTCTGACAATTAGTGTTGCCTTCTGATGCAAGGCAAGGCGACCTGGTTTCGACGAGCAGCACGGCGACCCAAACTCACCAGGGTCACTCGGGCCAAAGACACAACGCTGACACCAATGTGGTGGACGGTCAAAGGCGTTTATTGTTTCATCTCGTGGGGTTATATACTCTAGGGTGCTACTCTACGTCAAAGGGAGTCGGCTTATACTGTTTTACGGTTAGTAAGGAGAGAAAAGCTACCAGAGTTAGGGAGGTTGCATTCTTCGCTTATCTCAGGAGATTAGGGGAGAAGGGAGTCTTGCAGCTGCAGCTTTCCGTGACATCGCATAATCTTCCACTCGCCTATCCCTGTGTAACACATCCTCACTACAAATTAGACCTTTTTTTTTTGTCTTCTTTTTGAGCAAATTGCTGTCTCTCTATCAGTGATTGTTTTAGATTTAGACCAAAGTTCTTTCTGAAACCCACCAAATATTACTCCCTGTAATATTCTCCCACCAAATATTATTATTGTACTCCCCAACAAATATTACTTTATATATATATTACTTGCAAAGATAGGACACTCTCAGAGAATATTGGTACAATATATGACCAACTGGTTTTCATTAGATAGTCTAAGTAACCTGATTGTTGGCTAAGAATGGACTGGATGCAGTAAAAAATCTCATCAGTAATTGCAAAAAATATATAAAATGTCTGCCTTGCCATAGTGCTATGACAAGAGCTATTGCTTTGTAATCAGAGTTAATAGGACATATTCTCCACCAAGGTTACTATTTGTCATAAAATCATTAATTGGCTGGGTAAAGTTTGGAATCAGGGTTGATATAGCTGACAGCACAATAACAGTTTCATTGCTGATGTTGATGCTTTTTCAGATTCTTAGTGTATGTGGTGGTTTAAAAGTAAACTAGTGGGAGAAATGAACCCCACTCAACTACCTCAAGAGAGATTACAGGTAAGATTTGCAATTTACTAATGAGATTACAACAAATACAATGATGAACCAAGGGAAACTGGTTTTAACTCACAAAGTCAGAGTACAACCTGGCACCTTGTTGGTCAGAGTGGTGGTCACAGTCCTGTTGAAATTCTGATCCTCCTCCAGATCTGTCAAGTGGTGGTGGTCAAAGCCCTCAAGCCTAAAAATTTTATAGGTTCGAGTGGGAGTTCTCAGTACCTCTCCCAGGGCTCGGGGGTTGGGGGCGGGGGGGTGGTTTCGGGTTCCCAATGGAATGATGTAGTACTGTGAGTCATGGGTTATTTTGGGACTTTTGATGGTCCCTGTAGCTGCCTATTCTGCTAGTGCCATTGAGTCCATTATGGCCCATTAGCAGAGATGACCCCTCAGTCTGTGTGTGACTGTGCTGGTCCTTCCCGGGAGGGGAGTTATCACAGCTGAGTCATTTGTGTGAAGAAAAAGAAACACTACCCTGCCTGGAAGGGTTTGCCTTTTTTTCCTTCTCTCCTTTAACACCCCATTTGTAGCTTGAGGTGTTGGGTGTGCACTGGGTAGCTAGTGCAAATGATCCATCATTAACAGTTTATCAGAAATTATGTAGAGGGGTGTAAGAATACACAGTTTAGTTACATCCACATAGTGCTAAACTGGCACCCTACTCCTGTAACCAGGACAGTATGAAAGGCTTAGACACTGAATATCCTCACCAAATATTTAAAGTTTAAGGAGTTATTTTTCAAGGTTCTGTGAAATAAGAGACATCACAGGAAAGTAAAATGAATCTCAGTCTTGCAGGTCTATTAATATTTTCTTATTATCTCTGCTGTCTTTTAAATTGTTACTATTTTCAACTATTAACCTTTTCTGGTACAAACTTAATTTGCAAAAAATTTAATAATTTTCAGAACTCATTCCCAGCAAAGTTTCTACATAAAATTCAACATCATATATTGTAGTTAGAACTGCTTATTTTAAAAAGAAAGAGTGACATGAGTAACTTAAAAAAAAAAACCAAACACCAAAATCCAACAAACTAAAAACCCACATCAACCCACAATTTTATTGCCCTTTCCCTTTTTTTGGAAATAGCCTGCCATGGAATTTTTAGGCCATGGTACTTAATGTCATACATATGTTTCTGTTTTGCTCTGATCTTGCTTGGAGTTTAAATTTCAGACAATTCAGATCTGTTGACTTTAAAGGACAAATCCCTCAATGTGAAATAAGCTCAGCAAACTTAAGATCTATCATAGAAGCAAAATGTAGATCAGCCAGGGTGAGAGCTCTCAGTTTGAAGACCACAGATAGTGATCATTTATGAAAATACTTAACATTATGTTGATGACACCAAGCTGTGTGGTGCGATTGACATGCCTGAAGGATTGGATGCCATCCAGAGGGATCTGGAAAAGTTTGAGGAGTGAGTCCATGGGAACCTCATGAGGTTCAACAAGAAGTGCAAGGTCTTGCACCTGGGTCGGGGCAATCACAAGCACAAATTTAATCTGGAGGGAGAATGGATTGAGAGCAGCCTTGAGGAGAAGGACTTGGGAGGTACCAGTGGATGAGAAGCTTGACATGACCCAGAAATCATAGAATCATAGAATCATTAAGGCTAGAAAAGACCTCCAAGATCGAGTCCAACCTTTGACTGAACACCTCCATGCCAACCATATCATGGTACTAAGTGCCATGTCCATCCATTTCTTGAGCACTTCCAGGGATGGTGACTCCACCACCTCCCTGGGCAGCCTGGTCCAATGCTTAACTACCCTTTCAGTGAAGAAATTCTTCCTGATGTCAAACCTGAACCTCCCCTGGCACCGCTTGACGCTATGTCCTCTTCTCCTGTCATTAGTTGCCTGTGAGAAGAGGCCGATCCCTGCCTTGCCACAACCTCCTTTCAGGTAGTTGTAGAGAGCAATAAGGTCTCCCCTGATCCTCCTATTCTCCAGACTAGACAATCCCAGTCCCCTCAGCCACTTCTCATAGGTCTTACCCCCTAGACACTTCACCAGCTTGGTTGCCCTTCTCTGCACACGCTCCAGCACCTCAGTGTCTTTCCTGAAGTTAAGGGCTTAGAACTGGACACTACTC